CGTCAAAGTCTTTGGGAAGATCCCGGGCATCAGATCTACTCGCTGCGTTTATGGAAGCCCTTGCCGGTATCCCTTCGAACAAGTTGCTGCAAGTGTCCATGGATGGGCCCAATGTGAATTGAAGCTAGAGGTACAAAAAGGTGGCGAGACGCTGATAGATCTGGGATTAGTGTTCGCAGTACCAGTTGGGATGTTGTTAAATATCTGCGTAGTATCTACAATATCTTCAAAGATGTACCAGCAAGACGAGCGTTTTCACGATGTATTCCGGATCTACCATATTCCCGTTAAAGTGTTGCGGCCACCGATGGTTGGAAAATAGCGGTGCTGTTCAGAGGGCAATCGAAATTACTCCGCAAATACGAAAACTTATTCAAGGCGTCCAGAAAGACAAAATCGAACCAACGTCGGCTTCCTACCAAGATGTTAAAAACTGTTTGAATGACTCGCTGACGGCCAATAGTACGTTCAGACTACAGAGTTATATCATGTTATAGCACTATCTTGATGGCGGTTTTTGCAATTATTTGACAACTGGTATAACATGTTGTAACTCTGTAGGGCTACAAAATGGTGAGTTGACAACCTGGAAGGAGCGGAATACCTAGCCCTGGCCCTCACAAGTTCCTACTTCACGCCTCCACGAGTCTTATGATAACAAAAGACTACCAGCTGAAACATGGACACAGCTGGGTGGCGTAGCCTGGGCAATGTTGCCAGTCCGGCAATAGCAAAGTGAAGAAGTGCGACGCGAACACTGGCGCGGTAACCATAGTGCTTCACCAAACCCGAGCGTCTGTTCACCATGGAGGTGCGACTCAAAACGGCGTCTGTTCTCCATGTTCGGAGCGGCTGATCACCGTCCTAGTGCCAGCGTGGGACTCTAAACAGAGCTGTGCACGATGGTGCCCCGGCGAGACAGGGGGTTGGGGCAGGCCCAACAAGCCGCCCTGGAAAAACATAAAGTTGCAAATACTGAAGAAAGAAATACGGATCGGAACAATCGACACAGACCTACGCGACGAAATAAGAACTACGATTGGAAACTCGGAACATGGAACTGCAAATCGCTCGGTTTCCCGGGTTGCGATAGGTTAATCTATGTCGAACTTCAACCACGCAACTTCGAAGTCGTAGCACTGCAGGAACTTTGCTGGACGGGACAAAAGGTATGGAAAAGCGGGCATCGAGCGGCTACTTTCTACCAGAGCTGTGGCACCACCAACAAGCTGGGAACCGGCTTTGTAGTGCTGGGTAAGATGCGCCAACGCGTGATCGGTTGGCAGCCGATCAACTCGAGGATGTGCAAGTTGAGGATTAAGGGCCGTTTCTTCAACTACAACATCATCAACGTGCACTGCCCACACGGAGGAAGACCCGTCGACGCGAATGTAGCGTTCTATGCGCAGCTGGAGCAGGTGTACGACATGAACACTCAAGTAGGACGGGAGGCAATGTATAGACCGGCAATCGGGCCAAACAGCCTGCAAGCCGTATCGAACGACAACTTTGCGTGAACTTTACAGCCTCTCGGCGTATGATAGTTCGAAGTACCTTTTTCCCCCGCAAGGATATCCACAAAGCCACCTGGAGATCACCTGACCAACACACAGAAAACCAAATCGATCACGTTCTTCTCCGACATTATCAACGTCGAACATAGATTCGGACCACTACCTTGTTGCAGTATGCATGCGCTCAAAACTCAAAACTCGAAGTCGAACGCCGCGACCCAACATTGAGCAACTACGGTACGCCGGAGTTGCCCAGGACTACGCGCAGCAGCTGGAAGTTGCACTACCCACGAAAGAGCAGCTTGGCGCAGCTTCTCTTGAAGATGGCTGGAGGGACATCCGTTCCGCCATAGGTAGTACTGCTGCAGCGGCACTAGGTACTGCAATCTCGGACCGAAGAAATGACTGGTTTGACGGCGAATGCAAACTGTTAGTAGAGGAGAAGAATGCTGCAACACCGCACAAGATTGAATGTGGAGCGATACAGACAACCGCGGAACAGACAAAACTCGGTCTTCCGAAGGAAGAAGCGTCAGCTGGAAGACCAAGATCGCGAGGCGATAGAAAATCTGTACCGCGTAAACGACACACGGAAGTTCTACGAGAAGCTAAATAGTTCGCGCAAAGGCTACGTGCCGCAAGCCGATATGTGCAAGGACTTGGACGGTAGCCTTCTCACGAACGAGTGTGAAGTGATTGAGAGGTGGAAGCAGACCTTGGAGCACGCGCAGAAGACGACAGGCTACCGGCCCCTGATCGTCAAGAAGTTGAGGAGGAGATCGGTCGGCTGAAGAACAACAAAGCAACTGGTGTAGATCAACTACCAAGTTATTACAATACAGTGGTGAAGCACTGGCTAGAGCGCTGCACTGGATAATTGCCAAGATTTGGGAGGAGGAAATATTACCGGAGGAGTGGATGGAAGGTGTCGTATGCCCAATCTACAAAAAGGGCGACAAGTTGGATTGCTACTCTCCCAAATTCTATGCCGCCGCCTGTCACCATTTGCCAGAGAGTTCGTGGGGCAATACCAGGCGAGATTCATGGGTGCCTCCGCTACCACGGACCAAATTTTCGTGATTCGGCAGGTTCTGCAGAAATGCATCGAATACAACGTGACCACACATCATTTGTTCATCGATTTCAAATCCGCATACGTCACGATCGAGATCAGCTATGGCAGATTATGGACGAGTACGAATTTCCGGATAAACTGACGCGATTGGTCAAGGCGACGATGGATCGAGTGATGTGCCTTTGAATCTCGAAGGGGGTTACGGCAAGGTGATGGGCTTTCGTGTCTGCTATTCAACATCGCGTTAGAAGGTGTAATCAGAAGAGCTGGGATAGACACGAGTGGCACGAAGTCCATCCAGCTTCTTGGCTTCGCCGATGACATTGACATCATGACACGGAACTTTGAGACGATGGCGGAAACGTACATCAGACTGCAGGCTGAAGCTAGGCGGATTGGACTTACCATCAATGCATCAAAGACAAAATACATGAAAGGAAGAGGTTCTAGGGAAGACAATGTTAGCCTCCTACCCCGAGTTTAGATTGACGGTGACGAAATCGAAGTGGTCGATGAGTTCGTGTATTTGGGCTCACTGGTGACCGCCGAAAATGATACCAGTAGAGAAATTCAAAGACGCATTATGGCAGGGAATCGTGCCTACTTTGGACTCCAGAGGACGCTCTGGTCGAATAAAATTCGCCGCCGCATAAAGTTGACTGTCTACAAGACGCTGATTGGACCGGTGATCCTCTACGGCCACGAGACCTGAACTATGCTCGTGGAGGACCAACGCGCCCTTGGTGTTTTCGAACGGAAGGTGTTGCGTACCATCTACGGTGGAGTGCAGATGGATGACGGAACGTGGAAGAGGCGAATGAACCACGAATTGCACCAGCTGCTGGGAGAACCATCCATCGTCCACATTGCAAAAATTGGGCGACTACGGTGGGCTGGGCACGTCGTAAGAAGAGGCGCGCAGCGGGCAAGATGGATCGACCAAGTAGAAGGTGACTTGCGAACCCTTCGCAGACTACGAGGCTGGCGAACTGTGGCCATGGATCGAGTAGAGTGGAGACGGCTTCTTCGGACAGCAGAGGACAATGCCTTAGTCTGGTTGGTAAGGTAGGTAACTCTGTAGTCTGAACGTGGTATTAAGCTGGCTTTCTTCAAATCAGTTGCTGTCGAAGTTGTGCCATTTCTATGCGAGTTTCAGATGGACAACCCTATGGTGCCTTTTTTGTACAACGCGATGTCGCAAATTAGAGGCATCATGGAAATTAATATTGATCATCTGAACAATATTGAACAGGTAAATGCACATTCGATCAATATAGTATGATTGCAAAAAGGAACGACTGGTCAGCGTATTCAGAACTATTGTTGGTTGTGAAAATGATTTGCTGCTTATCGCATGGCAACGCCAAAGCAGAGAGAGGTTTTTCGGTAAATGTAGAATATCTTTTTGAAAACATGAGGGAAGAGTCAGTCGTAGCGCGACGTCAGATCTATGATGGTGTTACCAATGCAAATTTCGCATTCGCTTTCCATGTAGACATGGATCGTCGTATGAAAGAAGCTCTCAATTCCGACAAAGCGAAATTGTTGAAACGCCACAGAGAAGCAGAAGCGAAACATCTCGAGAATAAGCGAAGAAAGTTATTGGAAGATGCTCAAAAAGAATCCGAGAGTTTCCAGGAGAAAATTGTTCTGCTCAAATCATAAACATGTTTAAAAGTTATCCGAACATAAACACATATTCAACTTGTAATTTCTCGTTGTAATGTGAACTCACTGAAGGAATAAAATGTTAATGATAATTAAACTTAAATTATTTTGCCATGTCTGCGGTTGTCATATGGAGATCCAGAGAGTAAGAAATTTTACTGTCTTATCCATGAGAAGTGCATCCTCAGGTTCAGTTGTCAAAGCAAGAATAATCACTACTCTGTTATTTTACAATGGATCGTCTACGGGATGATTTGTATATGGCTGTGAAATTATGAACACAAATTGAGAGCTTGGTGACATTGATTAAATATTCCTATTATTACTTAGTGATTAATAGTGAGCCTAGTTGTGAGTAGTACTTAATTATTATAGTATAATATGTATTTATAGCCCTAGGCCATATGTTCTGTAAAAATTGTATAAGTATGATGTTCTGATGTGCGTACCATGAGTATGCTATTCTTGATATTTTCGAAAGCTCTCATTTTAAACTAACCATAATTTGCACTAAGGTATAATAAAGCACATCACGATGTAGCTTCTTAGGTTAAAATAACGGAGTTTTGGGGACTGAATTTTTTTCTGAAAACAGACTAAAAATTCAGGGATTTTTTTTTTTACTTTGAGTCGACACCCTGGTTTCTATCTATGTTCGGATTTAAGTAAAAATCAACACGATCTACTAGCACAACTGTGCTCAGTATGAATTATAAGCTAAAAAACGACATTTATAAACTTACTGTTTCCTGAATTGTGTATTGCTTTAACAGCCTTTTTTAGCTTTGTCAGTCCTTCGCGATCGAAGTCAAGTGTCTGTAAAGAGCAGGAGAGAGAGAGAGAAACAAATGGCTACGATTAGTTTGATACTCAACAATAAACAATAACGATCTGCCGAGCTGGCCAGCTGATTTAAAAAGTGAATGTTATGCATAAATCGTTACTTTCGATACGGTAATATTTCTGCATCATCCGGAAGCTTCGGCAACTGGCAAATGTGACGAGGAAAATATAGCCGAAAGTAATAAAATACTAATCCTATCGCCATCCGGCTCCGATGGAAGCCATAAAGTCATATATTTTTTAAAATGCACATTTCACGGAGCAACATTTATGCGCTCAAAACAGAAATCAGATGATTTGCTGAAGGGGGAGGGGAACACTTCCTCGAAGAGCAAGATTTAAAATCCACATCGATGATGTAGCGCGACAAATGTTACGCAAATCTGCAGCCGTTGGATGCTAGGAATGCGATTGGACAGAAACTCATCCGACGGGGTTTGTTTATTATTCTGCCCCCGTGCTCATCGTCGGTTTGGATTTCCCGACTGTCACTCTAAATTTACCATCGTTTATTTTATTTTATTTTTTTCTGAGTGAATTCTTCGGCCCTGGCATCGCGATTTTGTTGTTTGTTCGAAAGGTAAGGAAATGTGCCATTTTGCATGATTTCATTTCGTCAACCAAACTCAACAAAGTGTTAAATAGCGCTCTCGGCCGGCTCACGTACCTACCGAGCAGGCACATTGTGTTTGCCTTTTGAAGCAAGGGAGGCAGGCAGCGAAGAAAGTGTCACAAAGTTGGAATGTCGGCTATTTTGCGAGGTTTACTACCGCGAGCCTGATAGAATACAAATTGGGTACAAACAGGTGAACAGGCACAATGTGTCCCACTTGGGATGTTTGAAGGCACTCTACAATGCACTGTTTGTATTACGTGTTGCGCAATCGTTATTCTGAAAATCGAAATGGTTTCGCAAAGATTCAATTTGTTTCTGGGAATATTGAGGAGCAATTGGTTGGCGTTTCCTTAACCTCAATCTACCTGTGCACCAACTCTCAAAACATAAGCAATTATCAAAATATTGCTTGCAATGGATAGATATCGAGTAAACTAGAAGATTAAGTGTGTTTTTCAACCGATTCGAGTAGGAATATGGCATTAAATCTGGTTTTGGAAGTTGGTGTACAGGTAAACAGTGAGGTTACGGGACGCCACTGAAACAGAAATACGACCCAGAACCTTGAAAAAATGGTGCATGTCTTGAATATAAAAAAGTAGAAGGGTCTGTGCCTTGGGGCACGAACGGAAGCTTGACGTAGGACCACTAGTGGACGGAACAAATATGTTGATAATTTAGTTCTCTTTCCATTTTTGAATTGGTGGTCGATGCCGACCGGATGAGGACGGCCTAGTCGTGCTGCCTATTGCGGGAAGCCTTCGTCCGTTCGGTGTGGGTGTTTTTGTCGTCGTCTGAGTGATGCCACATATACAGATTTACAGTCATAGTCCATAGTCCGGATTTAGGATCCGGATTAATAAAATTATCTGTATCTCGGTAACGGATTGACGTACAAATAAGGTTAATACATCAAAACAAAGGTAATTCACTGTAAATATCAATACAAATCATTTCTCTTCGTTTCTAATGAAAATTCGCACTTTCTTCTTTATTCCTCCCATCAAACGCTGCACATCTCCGGAGTCAACTTCCTTGGCACATTTGTTCCACATTTTGTTCATCTGAATCGCGTCCCGAGCCGTTTTTCCACTTTTCTTAAGCTTCCGCTTCATTATTACCCAAAATCTCTCGATGGGCCGGAACTGCGGGCAGTTGGGTGGATTTATGTTTTTATCGATGAAATCTACGTTATTATCGCGGTACCACTGGATGACTTCCCGGCTGTAGTGGCAACTCGCCAAATCTGGCCAAAACTTCACGGGACCTTTATGGGCTTTAATGAAAGGTAGTACGCGGTTTTTTAGGCATTCTTCCTTGTACAGCTTCGAGTCCATCGTCTTATTCGTCACGAACACTTTGGTCTTTGCTCCGCAGCTGCATATCCCTTACCAAATCATCAGTTTTTTGGCAAATCTGTCCATCTCCTCGTGCCGTCGCCATGTAGAATTTTTGGCCAGGAAGCTGTCCGAAATCCATTTTGACGTAGGTTTCATCGTCGATGAGCTTGGTACTTCGTCAAAATCTGCTGGTAAAATTTCCAAGCTCGAGTTTTGGTGACGAAACTTTGCTTCAACGTTCTGTTTGGTTGCTTGCTGGCTTGATAAGAACGATATCCTGCTCGCAAACGAATTCTTCGAACGGTACTGCGAGCAGCAGCGTATTTTTGTGCGATTTCATTATCTGATAGTTCAGGGTTTGCTCTGACGGTTCTCAACACCTTCTGGTTCAGCTTGCGGCCATATGTTCCACTACGACGCTTATCTTGAGGCACTCGATCCACGCTCTTTCGCTCCCTGAAACTTTGAGCACATCGTCGTGTGATTGATTTGACGATTTTTAACGTTTTTGCGATTTTTATTTTATTTTTATTGGATTATCAACGTGGGTGTGCAGAATTTTTTCTCTCCTCTCGGCTTCCATCTGGAATCATTTTTGACTCACTGCACGAAACACCGTGAAATTTATACCACAGAAAGTGGGCGCCTAGGTAAACAAACCGCTGTAAAATGATTCTTGTAGCGGTCACTTTCCGTGCCGCTGCAACACAAAAAATGATTCCGGATTCTAACTGGACAGAACTTTATCAGAATGAATTCGAAGTTGTGACTGAAATATAGGCCCAGGAGACCTTATGATGGTTCACCGCAAAATCCGGAACAAGCGTAAAAGTAGTAAATTTATGAAACTGATCCTAATCCGCGGTTTTTTTTTCAAAACCTCTTATAAAACTCTTATCAAAATTAATGTGAAGTTATGACCGGAATTTTGTCACTGGAAACCACGAGGTGGTTCACTAAAACATCCGGATCATCCGTAAAAGTGGTCAATTCTTGAAACTGATCCTAGAGCTCCGCGATATTTTCAAAACCAGTGACCAGAATATCTTGATAGAGCTGGAATTAGGGCGTAACGGCTTTTGTAAACAATGACTTCTCTCGATGATTTCTAGAAATTCAAGGCACGCCCACGAGAAAGGCACGCATATCGAGAAAAGTCATTGTTTACAAAATCTGTTATGCCCTAATTCCAGCTCTATCTAGATAAAGACCCTGGTTACCACAGGATGGACCACCGGTTTTTTTTTTTTTCAAAACCACTTATTGACATCTTATCAATATGAATTCGGAGTTGTGATTGGAAAATTGACCCTTGGATCCACAGAACGCCTCTCCAGAGGATCCAAATCATCCCTAAAAGAGGTAAATTGATGAAACTGATCCTAGAGCTCTTCTGATTTTTCGAAACCATAGATGTATCATCAGAATGAAATGGGAGTTGTGACCGGAAAATGGACCCTTGGGACCACGAGATGGTTCACCATAAACATCCATAAAAGTGTTCAGTTCTTGAAACTGAGCTTAGAGGTACGGTTTTTTTTTTCAAACCCACTCATTGGCGTCTTATCAGAACGGATTTGGAGTTATGACCAGAAAATTGACCCTGAGACCAGTGCACAATGGTCCCAAAGCCGTATTTAGGAAGACAAAAATATTAGCGCCCAAACCATCAGTTTTAGGTATATTTTGTCTTCGGGAAAGTTTCTTCGTATTTTTTGGTCGATCTTGTTAATGCTAGCGAAATTAGGGTGGTCCATAAAATTGATGAATTGAAAATACAAACTTTTTTATTATTTGAGATAGACCAACGCAGTTTTCTAAAAAGTTGTAGCAATCAATTTGCAGCAGACATGAAATTTCTATCTCTTATGGTTCAAGAATTATAAATATTTTAAACAAGCAGGTAAGGGTGGCCCCTAGAAAATCGGCTAAATATATTTTTATGCACTGGGTAATTGCCAAGATTTGGGAGGAGGAGATATTACCGGAGGAGTGGATGGAAGGTGTCTTATGCCCAATCTACAAAAAGGGCGACAAGTTGGATTGCTGCAACTACCGCGCGATCATACTGCTGAGCGCCGCCTACAAGATACACTCCCAAATTCTATGCCGCCGTCTGTCACCATATGCAAGAGAGTTCGTGGGGCAATACCAGGCGGGATTCATGCGTGCCCGCGCTACCACGGACCAAATTTTCGCGATTCGGCAGGTTCTGCAGAAATGCCGCGAATACAACGTGCCCACACATCATTTGTTCATCGATTTCAAATCCGCATACGACACAATCGATCGAGATCAGCTATGGCAGATTATGCACGAGTACGGACTTCCGGATAAACTGACGCGATTGGTCAAGGCGACGATGGATCGAGTGATGTGCGTTGTTCGAGTATCTGGGACACTCTCGAGTCCCTTTGAATCTCGAAGGGGGTTACGGCAGGGTGATGGACTTTCGTGTCTGCTGTTCAACATCGCGTTAGAAGGTGTGATCAGAAGAGCTGGGATAGACACGAGTGGTACGATATTCAGGAAGTCCATCCAGCTCCTTGGCTTCGCCGATGACATTGACATTATGGCAAGGAACTTTGAGATGATGGCGGAAACGTACATCAGACTGAAGGCTGAAGCTAGACGGATTGGACTTGCCATCAACGCATCAAAGACAAAATACATGAAAGGAAGAGGTTCTAGGCAAGACAATGTTAGTCTCCCACCCCGAGTTCAGATTGACGGTGACGAAATCGAGGTGGTCGATGAGTTCATGTATTTGGGCTCACTGGTGACCGCCAAAAATGATACATGCAGAGAAATTCAAAGACGCATTATGGCAGGGAATCGTGCCTACTTTGGACTCCGGAGGACGCTCCGGTCGAATAAAATTCGCCGCCGCACGAAGTTGACTGTCTACAAGACGCGGATTAGACCGGTGGTCCTTTACGGGCACGAGACCTGGACTATGCTCGTGGAGGACCAACGTTTTCGAACGAAAGGTGTTGCGTACCATCTCCGGTGGAGTG